AATGGTTGGAGCGGCGCACCTATCAGTTTTGAAGAAATTCCATTCTCGGTTCTTCGAGTTGGCCACCATGCTTCCTTTGGATCCTGGCCTGCGACCGCCGACTCTGCAGGAGGTATTGTTGGCGGACCAGCAGGTCTGGCTAGCAGTGGCTACCGCGCAGAAAGACCATGGATGGGACCTCAACACGTCTCTGCATGAAATTGAATTTGGAGAGGGGACATGGCCACTTTTCTTCAAGCCCGCCCACGTGTCAGTAAACGATCGAATAGCCCCCTGCAGCCGAACCAGGCAAAGCGTCAGAAGCCGGCTCGCGCAGCTGCTGGCCCTGCTGCTAGCGAGCCTAATGAGGCCAAAGGCGCTGTTGCAGGATGGAATGAGAAGTGGCTCAAGAAGGTTGGCAACAAGAATGTGTGCATGCGGTTTAGTGTCGGGAAGTGCCGCAATCCGGCACCAGGGGGACTCCCAACGCACGAGCAAACGAGTGAGGGGCGTAAAGCCAGCAGTTTTGAGCATTCAGGTCGGCCGGTTCGGCTTTTCTTGGATTTGTTTGCTGGTGCTTCCTCTCCAGTGCATAAAGCAGTCAGAGAAAGGGGGGGCGACTGTTTTCTCCCAGTGGACATCATCCTTGATGACTTCTGAGATCTTCGTGATGACAATTGCATCGATTTTTTGAATTCATTTATTGACCATGATTTGGTTGGCGCTCTTCTTGCGGCACCCTTGTGTGGTGACTACAGTATGCTCAAACTCCGACAGCCAGGTCCTATGCCTTTACGGACGCCGGCGCAACTGGATGGTGTGGACAATCTTTCCAGCGAAAAGCAACTTCAACTTCAAGAGTCTGCCTTGCTGCATGACCGAGCCAGGCATCTTTGTGAACGTGTTGCCTCGCCTGGATGCTTGGCCATGCTTGAGAATCCTGTTGGTTCTATGACTTTCATGGAAGAGCCCATGCAGGAGACGCTGCAAATGTGGCTCCCGTGGCTCGCGCAAGTTGCTGCGTGCTCCGTGGGGGAAGATTGGGCTAAGCGCTGGCTTTTCGCTGCCTCGCATCCGTCCATTTTCCAAATTGCGTCGCAGTGTGAGCGTGACCGCAACGCACACGTGTCCTTGCATGGAGCTCGTGATCTTGTGTCTGGACAGTTTCTCTCTAGGCTGACAGCTCGCTACCCGCGTGAACTGGCCTCGCAGCTGGCAGCTGTGATTCTTCCTTGGATATCCAAGCATGGCCTGCTTGTGGACAGGTGCACGTGGCAGACTTGCTTGCCCCCCACGTTGACATGGCCGCCGTGCCCAGTCAGCGTTCCTGATGGAGCGGGGCTCTTCAGCTCGGCGTGTTGGAGAGAACCTCAGCACAAGGACGTTTTTCACGATCTGCGGCAACGTCTTTTTCAGTTTTTGTAGAAGACACGTTTAGTTGTCGCTGTCGCAGGTGCAGTTCGACAGGGCACTGAGGAGTGCCCCTTGTCCGACTCACACCAAGCGCAGCTGCTGCATATTGTGTGCTCTTGGGTTGCAAATCGTGGCGGCCCATCTTCCGTGCAAGAGCTGAAAGCTGTGCGTGAAGGTCAGCACAGTGATGCTCCGTTCATGCAGGAGTTGCAAGTGGGAGTTCGCCTCGGGACTAGCGAGCCGCTGTCAGTATCCAAGCATTGGCCGACATCAGAGCAGACTCCGCCGCAGCTGGACTTGTTGCAGGATTGCGTTTCAAGCTGGAAATCGGCTCTGGACCATCCTGAACTTGTGGATGAACTCCTTCAAGCAGAAGTGGATGCAGGGTACGTAGTGCCCGTGTCAGGTGGCCTGGATGCCTTGCGTGAGCAATATCAGCATACTGCAGTTGGCAAGCTGGGCATTGCTTTCTCCTCGACACGCAAGCCTCGGTCCTCGACTCTTCCGTGTCGGGTTTGACGGATGCCACTAGCATGCCTGGCAGAATCTTTTATCCCCGAATAAAGGATGTTTTGCAATGCGCGCCCGTCTCACACGCAAGGGAGAGGTTTTGTGCTTTCTCCCTGGACGTTGCTCAAGCGCACAAACGCATCTTGCTGCATCCTGAAGATGGGGGTCTGCTTGCCTTGCATCATCGTGGCCAGTTGTTCAGGTACAAAACGCTGAACTTCGGGGCCAAAGCCAGCTCTTGGTATTGGTCTCGATTGGCAGCCGCCATCATGAGACTGACTCATGTTTTGGTCTATTGCCATCATTCAGGCTGGTTATTCGTCGATGATTTGTTCGGATTTCTACCGGAACAGGCTGCAGATCCATTTGTCACCTTGGTTATTTGCTGGTGGGTTACGCTCGGGATTCCTATAAGAAATGCTGTCTAGGCAGCAAGGTGCAATGGATATGTTTTGACTTCAACATCCACACAGACCCAAGATCAATGCAGTTTTGGAGTCACTCGATGCTCTTCGCTCGCAGTCCAAACTTGATCGGAAACTGGTGGAGCAAGTCACAGGCAGGCTTGTCTGGATTACTGAGCTGTGGGTTTTCTTGCGCCCGCTGCTTGCCGATATGTATTCCATGATGTATGCTAGTCAATCCACCAGAATCTCGTTGGACTGGGGGCAGTGGAAGAATCTGCTTCGCCACTTGGATGCTGACTTGTATGTGCAGACTTCAATTGGGCATCACTCCATTCGTCCTGGGTGGAAGCTCAAAGGTGCAGGTTCGGTGACATTTGATTCCATTGTCAGTTTGTCCCACGCTAGTCGAGGTTGTGGGCATGTTTTTCCGATCCAGAGGCTCGTCAGCTTCGGGTTCCGCGCGCTGCTGCGATTGCTGCGTCATATTGGGCACACATACTCAAATCTGGCACACTATGCTTTTCCATGCTGGCAGCTCAACCGTTAAATGTGCAATGCTTTGGCAGACGCATGATGGCGTGACGCATGTGCTGACAAGGAACCTGCAGGCCTGGGTGGCTATTTTCAATTTCTGAAAGCTCACCCATATGGTTTCAGTTCACGATTTCACGTGTCGAACTGCAGCGCCTAATCCGGAGTGAAATCAGCAGCATGCAGTCACTGATCTGAGCCTTGGAAATGCTTGCTCAGCTTGCGTTACTTTGGATGCTGTATCAGTATTTGCCAGTGTGTCGCTCTGCATGTTCAGTGATTTTTGCTTGTGATAACTCAGCTGTGGAAGCAGTGCATCACAAAGGGTTAGCTCGCGCGCACTTGCTGGGTAAGGTGCTGCTCAGCATGCTGCAGCTACAGCAGAAAAGCAGAATTCAAGTTTGCATTCAACATATCCCAGGACATCGCACTGTCCTGGCAGATGCCATCAGTCGCAATTTGGGGCACTTGATGCAAGACTTGTCGCAAAGCGAGAAAGTTTCAATTCCTTGGGAGGAGTTGCTCTCACTTGTAAAAGAAGCATTCGGTTGCGTTGGAGGCACTTGACATTCTCTGACATGTCTGCACTCTGTCAGCGCCCGCCTCACTTCTGCATGAATAGTGAGTGCTTAGTTGTCACGCTGTTTCGTTGCGCAGCTGCGCAACTTTGGCAGCCTGGAGTCAGAACACATCTTTCTTGTTTGGAGCCTTTGCTTTGAAGATTTGGAATTCGGTTCATAACATGTCGTGTCTCATTACGCCAACCGTTGCATGTTCGTGAACGAGTCGCGGTCCGGGTCGAGAGGTTTCCTGCAGGGTCGCTCACGAGGGTAACTTTGGGTTCTGCACCTCTCGAGGAGGCATGCGACCTCCGCTTTGACTGGTTGCTTTCCCTTCCCTTAAGAGCTTCGCTGAACACGAACCGCTGCTCGCCGAACAAAATGGTGAACTTGCGCGTAGGGGAAGTTTACCCCTTCTTCAGACCTTAGGCTTGCATTCGGGAACATAGCTAGAGCGCAACGGAAACTTGCTTGTCAGAACATTGCACGAGGTCTCGTCTGTGTTTGGACGAGCATGGACTGGCCGCCTTGTGGCCATCTTGGGCTCTAGCTTTTCCTTTGGTCTGTTACACTGCGTGTAACTTTGGAAGCGCCCACCAAATGGTCAACTTGCGCGTAGGGGATTTTTACCCCTTCTTCAGACCTTAGGCTTGCATTAGGGAACATAGCTAGAGCGCAACGGAAACTTGCTTGTCAGAACGCTGTTGTTTCGAGGTCATCGTTGTCCAGTGTTTTTGTGCTGTTGTCTCAGCTGCTGAGAGTAGCTGTGGGTACACTTGGTCTTGAACCGTGGCGGTGGTATTTTGTATTTGTGCGCTTGCGTGACTGCTACTTGTGCTGTGGACTGTACGCTTGGGCCTGTGTGTGCGTGTCTGTGTGTGTGTCTCTGTGTGCCAGGGATGACTGCTCCGCTACCATGTAAAACTCAGTGGTGCAAATGTTGTTTCAACCTGCGTGTGAGCGGTGGCAGCTGTCGCGCATTGTTTCCTGGTTGTGTAAGTTCGAACTTGTATGGCTCAAGGCCTGTCACGGACAACGTCTACCTCATGTACACACTGCCCTAATGCATTGGTGTGTCTCAACCGAGACAGAGCGAGAGAGAGAGAGAGAGAGAGACAGAGAGAGACAGAGAGACACAGAGAGACAAAGAGACCGAGAGACAGAGAGAGCGAAAAAAGAGAGAGGGAGAGAGGGAGAGAGACACAGAGAGACGAAGATATTGAGAGACAGAGAGACAGAAAGACCGAGAGACAGAGAGACAGACAGACAGACAGACAGACCGACAGACGGACCGACAGACAGACAGACAGACAGACAGACCGACCGACAGACAGACAGACAGACCGACGGACAGACAGACCGACGGACAGACAGACAGACGTACATACATAAATATTTATAGTTGTATATATATATATATATATAGATGGATGTATGGATGTATGGATGTATGGATGTATGGATGTATGGATGTATGGATGTATGGATGTATGGATGGATGGATGGCTGGCTGGCTGGCTGGCCGGCTGCACGAACGGATGGATAGATAACGTGGAATCCAGGTTGTGAGATGGAATGAGGGCAATCCCGGGTCAAGCAGGAATGGGAAGCCCGACCCTCGCCTCCTACGGGATCCTCCTCCTCCACTTCTTCCATCAAGTGGCTGAGCTCAAGCGTATTCGTCATATAAAAGAAACATCGGAGGCCTTTTGGGGTCCGTTTGTCGGAGATGGACGGCGCTTCATCTTCAGTGTGGGACTTAGGCGGATCCAGCGAGAGCTGAAGGAGATCAGCCAACAGCCTTCACGCCACTGGACGGTGCATGATTCAGACTTTCAGGGGTGTGCCTTTTCCATCGGCTGAGAGCTCCCTTTGCAGGACTGCCGGTCCTGCAAAGGATGACCTCTTTGAGTGGATTGCGGGGCTCTCAGCTCAAAGTTCCTGCGCAGCTGACCTTCTTGCACCTCAGTTCGCCATCCGTGGGCCTCCGGAGACGGACTTTCAAGGAGGCACGGCCTGATTTGTATTCTATATACCTCTTGCTGGGTGCCGTATTTTGTGACCAATTGGTCCTTGCTTGATTCAAATATCAAGTTGCGACGCTTTGCTCATTTGTCGTGAAGTGTCTGCTCCAGGTATCTACACTGGGAAGATTGTGCTGCCAGCTGGCGGCTTACTGCCGAATCTCGAGCTTTCAAATACTTGGGGATGTCTCAAAGATTGTAAACAGCGCATGGCTAGGCACTGGAGCGTAGGTGTGACTTTATATTTACTTTATATCTGACAGCCGATGATCGCGACCCGAGCTATGCGTGATCGATATTGGGTGGACGCGATACGCCGATTGTTGTTGTCTAGTCGCTTGTTTTTTGTCCCCGAACCATTCTGGGAACGTAGATTAAACTCAGCTGCGTGACCCGAAAGGATACCGTGTCCCACCACGTCTTTCTTTTCTTGAATGCATGTGGGTGAACCTGACTATTCGTTGGCTGCAGCTTTGCAGCTTTTGAAAGTTGCAGCAGCTCTGAATCAAAACCCTATCTCAAGCAGAACAGCGCGCAGAGCTAGTTGGCACACTTGGAACTTCTTGTCACTCTGCCATGTGTGAAGCGTTGTTTGGCTTTTGCCGCCAGATTGTGTGTGCATATGTCTTCGGCTATTGACATACCTCCGCGCACTCATCCAGAAAGGGCAAAAGGCTGGCAGCTCCACGCCGAGGAATGACATGCGAACGGAAGGAATTGGATCAATCACTGGACAAATTTGGATGGGCGTCTCAATCACGGCTCCAGTCATGCAGCGCGTGAGCCGCGTGCGCCCTTGTTGGGCTCATACTGTGGGCAAGGCAATAGGAACATACGAGCGCAGGCTGCAAGAACCTGGAGATTCGGCTAAGATGCCCTTGCAACAGAGCGGTGACACCAAACTTGAGTGAAGTGCTCAAGGGCGCAGTGCCTTGCCATCAGACACTTGGCCGTAGACTTCAACGGAGAAATGATCCGGAGAGCTGGACATACTACTTGGATGGCCGGCCGGTCAACTTCAAGCCGTATTTTGGTCTCAGCCTTTTCGGGTTTTGGCTTCCAGAAAAATGTTCGTTCGTGGCTACCTCCAACCACATCATTGTTTTGCAACACGGAACACCCAAACCAAGGCTGACAAGCAAAATGGCTCTCCTCCAAGATTTCAGGCTGAGAACATAGCACCTTGCACAGGGCCTTGAACCATCCCTACCAAGAATAAATGCACTTGCAAATGGCTGAGTGTGAGTGTTCGCAGCACATCAGAATCAGCTGTTGTTTTTTGCGCAAATGCACGTGCAAGGTGAATTATCCTCTCGCCCCACCCTCGATCACAATGCTGACGCCCAGTGGCCGGTGGGAGGTAGGATGCTGAGTCTTGTGAGTCGGGGGGTTGTAGATGCTTTGGGTTGCAGACCTCACGTCCTGGCGATCCTTCATGCCATTTGGCTGTGGCTCAAAAAGCCGGTACCAAAATAGAACCTGGTAAGTGGAAACATGGACCAAAACCTGTGTAACCCCTCCGGTTTAATTTTGAGCCACACCCTTCTCGCAGGTGGGCAAGAAGATTTGCTTGAGCAATACGAGCAACTTGGATGAAGACAGATCCTGACTTTTTCAGCGAGCATTCCTGTCGTAAGACTACCACGCTGAACTTTGGCAGCCAGCATGGGGCATCCGCACCATGATGGAGGCAGCTTTTGGCAGTGCCATGGTCAAAGGAGCTCTAAGTTCGGAGCTACCAGAGAGTGATCATTGATCTTTGAACAGGGCCTTAGACAAAAAGGACAAAGGCTGCAGGAGTTTGGCCACATCCGGGTCCTCGCTAGGCTTTGCGGAGCCATTTCCCAGCTGCCGGAGATGGTGCCATCGGTGCCGCTGGCTGCGGGGCTTTGGGGCTTGCGTGTCACGGGCGCGGCTGGGGCAGTCTCGCTGCACTTCCCACCCCCGGCTTTTCTAAGTTTGTGTTTTTCGGCCGGCTGTTGTTGACTAAGTTTATGTTTTGATTGAATGTCTCAAGCTGCCGGGGGAAAAAAACCAAGCATTTACGGCTTTTACTTTGCTCGTATCCTTCTTTTGAATATGGCTCGCCTCCTTCCTCTGAAGCTGTATCCCACAGGAGGTCTACTCCGCCCAAGCCACTGGGAAACAACGAATACTTGGTGATGAACCACAGTTGACTGTAATGTTGACCCCGCATTAATAAACCGTCATCGGATTTAGGGGTGAATTCCCGTGCTCGGGTGCTTTGGGGGCTACGTTCTCGACACCTCCCTGATGTTGGCAGCTTGAAAACTCGCTTGCCATACTAGATTCTGACCACCCGACTTCCTGTTAGTCCCTTGTTTTCAGGGGGGAATTTACGGAGAAAAAGAAAAAACACAAACGGAGAAACAAAACGGGGGAAAAAAAACAAAACACACCTCACCAACTCTCGCCGAGTCCAAAAGCCGCCTTGAGGTGCTTTAGACTGGCCCAGTGACCAACGCAAGCGCCTGGCACAGGACCATCGGTTTGACACGCGCGCTTGGCGTGTGAACTGGGAGTGTCGATGGGATATATGGGTATGGGTCAAAATTAAACCACCAGGATATGGACCGCAGGTTTTAGTCTTTGGTTTCATTTACCAGGTTCTATGTTGGGTACCTATTTTTGAGCCACAGCCATATAGGGCCTGATCAGCCCTTCCTGACATCACCATGTGATACAGAGTCTCTTTGTTTTCTTGTTTGCTGCTGGTGTGCGTGCTTGGTGTTGGAATCTGTAGCATGTTCGCTTCCAGAGGGTGAGCTTGTCTGGACACGTCAGCTTGAGACGAATACCCTTGATCCGAATGCCTTTCGTTCGAATTGGAGCATTCCACCTCCACTTGTGTGTGCGTGTTTGTGAGGCGCAGGAGGTGTCTCTTTCTGCATGTGTCTGCGTGTGTCAAACTGAGTTCAGGCTCGTTTTGGTGCTAAAAAGAGGAAGCCAACATGAATTGCCTGTCGTTGAGGGTCCATTGCTTTCACATATTCCTACAATTTGCGTGGCTCGAATGGAGAGAAAGTGAAAGCCGGCTATTGCAAGCTGGAAACTTGGATGTTCCCATTGTCAAGCTGTATGGTGTATTCTTGCTCACGGCAACACGGCAACGCGGCAACCTCAGGTCAATAAACTTGGCTGCTGTTTGACTCCCTTGCAACCGGCAAGAGTGAATAACGAAAAATGCCCTGCCCAAAGAGGTAGATCTCGACAGAGTCAAGCACAGATCTGGTGGTGGTTGCATGTGGGCAGCGGACACGAGTACTGGGGTATCGTTTTGCCATGGTCCCCTATCGGTTCTTGCGGCAGTCGGGCATATGGCCCACAGATGGAGGACTCTTTGGACTTTGTCACCTTGCCCAACTCTTCTGGCCAATGGTCCAAGAAGCCAGTGGCCTCAGATTTGCACAGAGTGGCACTGGAAGACGTCTGTCAGTCACGGCCTTTACAGGGCTCCTTGAATGCCAGAATGCAACACCCAGTATGTGTATGAATATCACTGGATGAAGCTGTTGAAGCCGTCTTGCCCCTTGAACTTCGCGTTTTTTGTTTTTTGCTCGCCATTACAGACTTCGTCCGGCTTTCCGCTGCCTTCTGCTGTTTGGTACCTGTCCCCCTTCTAAATCCTCGGTTTTGCTGGTTTTGCACTTGGCTTTCGGATACTTAGAATCAGAGGTCGAGCCAACAGCTGCACTCTCTCGCCTCGCACGAGGAACCGCGAACTTTTGCCAGAGCTGTCACCCGAGGAGCTCAAGGAGGAGACAGGGAGGGCCGAAATGGGTCAAGGGAAGCCCCAAAATCGGTGGTTCAAGTTGGTCAAGATTCTGTTTTATATTCAATCTGCCCGAGCTGTGTGGTTTGCGAAACAGGACACTCTTAGAGGGATATGCCTGATACGTGGGACATGTCACAAATCCGCGAAACGCTAAAGTCCAAGAGTCTATGCTGGGAACTGTCCTGGTGGTTGCCCTTTGGAACAACGCAGGTAGCCTCAGAAACGACATCCATATTTGTTACCTTCAGCCAGACGAGCCATGGTCGAAGTCAGGCAGCCCGCCTTTGGATCAGGCTTTGTATGATGGGTTTCAGCTGTTCCTTTTTCTCATTCGCAAGCATGCACAACTTTCACCACACTTGGCAACCCTGACGTGGCTGTGGCTCAAGCTGCTGAATTCAATTAATGCTAGCATGCCGCGATTAGTGCCCTGGCTCAGCATAGCTTCTTTTGGGCACGGCTCTGCAGAGGCTGCGAGTGACTGAGGTTTGATATTTCTCTAGACTGAGCATGAGGCTCCTCTTGTGCACCTTGGCTGTTTCCGGGACACTTGGGTCTCGACACATGATTCCCAGCCCCTGTTTCTTCTTGTCTGCCTGGGCAAGCTGTATTGAGTCCATTGGTGGAATCATGTTAGGCGCTTGGCTGGCCTTGGCGAGTCGCGCCCCGAGCTTCGCCCGTCTTTCTGCTTCTTGAAGGTCATGAACAACCTGTTTGTTCAACATGCAACTCAGCACCCAGGTGCCAGCGCAATCAACTCGACTCGGGAAGAGCCGCCAG